GAAATGGAAGCACACCGAGTGCTCCAGACAGACGCTCGTCTGCAGGAGCTCCTGTGGGTGGATCTGCCTCGAGCATGCACTTGTACCCAGGTGACCCAGCTCAGTTAGACTGAAGGGCCTCCCGGAGCACCAGGCACCAGGATCCTTGTGCCTCTCCGCCTGTCCAGTGGGAGGTGCCCACACAGGGGTCTCCTGGGAGGGTCCCTCCGCCTGTCCAGTGGGAGGTGCCCACACAGGGGTCTCCTGGGAGGGTCCTTCTGCCTGTCCAGTGGGAGGTGCCCACACAGGGGTCTCCTGGGAGGGTCCCTTTGCCTGTCCAGTGGGAGGTGCCCACACAGGGGTCTCCTGGGAGGGTCCCTTTGCCTGTCCAGTGGGAGGTGCCCACACAGGGGTCTCCTGGGAGGGTCCCTCCGCCTGTCCAGTGGGAGGTGCCCACACAGGGGTCTCCTGGGAGGGTCCCTTCGGAAGGCTGCTGTGTGCGGCAGAGGCTCGGATGTGGCCAGACACCCACTCTCCTGGCCACATGTGGCTGCTTCTGCTTTGTAGTGAGGGATTTTCTAAACCAGGCCTGGCCGTGGCTCTCCACACGCATCTCTTAGGCTGCAGGAGAGACCACCAAATGTCCCAGCCCAGTGGCACTGGCCACTGTCTCCTGTCCCTGTCCCTGACTTGTACCTGACCCAGCCCCAGCGCTGCCCCTTGGCCTCCCACCTGCCGCCCTTCCCCATCTTGGCCGGGCTGGGGCCATCGCTCACGCCCTTCCTCGGGTCCATTCCCACACTGCTATAAAGAACTGTCCAAGACGGTTGGTAATTTATACAAGAAAGAGGTTCAATTGACTCACATGGCTGCGGAGGCCTCAGGAAACTTACAGTCATGGTGGACAGGGAAGGAGAAGGAGGCACCTTCTCCACCTCCACAGGGCAGCAGGAGGGCGTGAGTGCAAGCAGGGGACACGCCAGATGCTTATGAAACCATCAGCTCTCCTGAAACTCACTCACGCTCACGAGAACAACACGGCGGGGAACCGTCCCCACGTACGTGCACAAGAACAGCATGGGGGAACCACCCCACTCACTATCACGAGAACAGCACAGGGGTGGGGGGGGAATCATCCCCACGCACTCTCACGAGAACAGCATGGGGGGAACCACCCCACTCACTATCATGAGAACAGCACAGGGGTGGGGGGGGAATCATCCCCACGCACTCTCACGAGAACAGCATGGGGGGAACCACCCCACTCACTATCATGAGAACAGCACAGGGGTGGGGGGGAATCATCCCCACGCACTCTCACGAGAACAGCATGGGGGGAACCACCCCACTCACTATCATGAGAACAGCACGGGGGTGGGGGGGGAATCATCCCCACGCACTCTCACGAGAACAGCATGGGGGGAACCACCCCACTCACTATCATGAGAACAGCACAGGGGTGGGGGGGGAATCATCCCCACGCACTCTCACGAGAACAGCATTGGGGGAACCACGTCACTCACTATCATGAGAATAGCACAGGGGTTGGGGGGGAATCATCCCCATGCACTCTCACGAGAACAGCATGGGGGGAACCACCCCACTCACTATCATGAGAACAGCACAGGGGTGGGGGGGAATCATCCCCACGCACTCTCACGAGAACAGCATGGGGGGAACCACCCCACTCACTATCATGAGAACAGCACAGGGGTGGGGGGGAATCATCCCCACGCACTCTCACGAGAACAGCATGGGGGGAACCACCCCACTCACTATTACGAGAACAGCACAGGGGTGGGGGGGGAATCATCCCCACACACTCTCACGAGAACAGCATGGGGGGAACCACCCCACTCACTATTACAAGAACAGCACAGGGGTGGGGGGGGAATCATCCCCACGCACTCTCACGAGAACAGCATTGGGGGAACCACGTCACTCACTATCATGAGAATAGCACAGGGGTTGGGGGGGAATCATCCCCACGCACTCTCACGAGAACAGCATGGGGGGAACCACCCCACTCACTATTACGAGAACAGCACAGGGGTGGGGGGGGAATCATCCCCACGCACTCTCACGAGAACAGCATGGGGGGAACCACCCCACTCACTATTACGAGAACAGCACAGGGGTGGGGGGGGAATCATCCCCACGTACGTGCACAAGAACAGCATGGGGGGAACCACGTCACTCACTATCATGAGAACAGCACGGGGGTGGGGGGGAATCATCCCCACGTACTCTCACGAGAACAGCATTGGGGGGAACCACGTCACTCACTATCATGAGAACAGCACGGGGGTGGGGGGGAATCATCCCCACGCACTCTCACGAGAACAGCATGGGGGGAACCACGTCACTCACTATCATGAGAACAGCACAGGGGTGGGGGGGGAATCATCCCCACGCACTCTCACGAGAACAGCATTGGGGGGAACCACGTCACTCACTATCATGAGAACAGCACGGGGGTGGGGGGGGAATCATCCCCACGCACTCTCACGAGAACAGCATGGGGGGAACCACCCCACTCACTATCATGAGAACAGCACAGGGGTGGGGGGGAATCATCCCCACGCACTCTCACGAGAACAGCATGGGGGGAACCACCCCACTCACTATTACGAGAACAGCACGGGGTGGGGGGGGAATCATCCCCACGCACTCTCACGAGAACAGCATGGGGGAACCACCCCACTCACTATTACGAGAACAGCACGGGGGTGGGGGGAATCATCCCCACGCACTCTCACGAGAACAGCATGGGGGGAACCACGTCACTCACTATCATGAGAACAGCACAGGGGTGGGGGGAATCATCCCCACGTACTCTCACGAGAACAGCATGGGGGGAACCACGTCACTCACTATCATGAGAATAGCACAGGGGTTGGGGGGGGAATCATCCCCACGCACTCTCACGAGAACAGCATGGGGGGAACCACCCCACTCACTATCATGAGAACAGCACAGGGGTGGGGGGAATCATCCCCACGCACTCTCACGAGAACAGCATGGGGGGAACCACCCCACTCACTATTACGAGAACAGCACGGGGGTGGGGGGAATCATCCCCACGCACTCTCACGAGAACAGCATGGGGGGAACCACATCACTCACTATCATGAGAACAGCACAGGGGTGGGGGGAATCATCCCCACGCACTCTCACGAGAACAGCATGGGGGGAACCACCCCACTCACTATTACAAGAACAGCACAGGGGTGGGGGGGGAATCATCCCCACGTACTCTCACGAGAACAGCATGGGGGGAACCACCCCACTCACTATCATGAGAACAGCACAGGGGTGGGGGGAATCATCCCCACGCACTCTCACGAGAACAGCATGGGGGGAACCACCCCACTCACTATTACAAGAACAGCACAGGGGTGGGGGGGGAATCATCCCCACGTACTCTCACGAGAACAGCATGGGGGGAACCACATCACTCACTATCATGAGAATAGCACAGGGGTTGGGGGGGAATCATCCCCACGTACTCTCACGAGAACAGCATGGGGGGAACCACGTCACTCACTATCATGAGAACAGCACAGGGGTGGGGGGGGAATCATCCCCACGCACTCTCACGAGAACAGCATGGGGGGAACCACGTCACTCACTATTACGAGAACAGCACAGGGGTGGGGGGGGAATCATCCCCACGCACTCTCACGAGAACAGCATGGGGGGAACCACCCCACTCACTATCATGAGAACAGCACAGGGGTGGGGGGGGAATCATCCCCACGCACTCTCACGAGAACAGCATGGGGGGAACCACCCCACTCACTATTACGAGAACAGCACAGGGGTGGGGGGGGAATCATCCCCACGCACTCTCACGAGAACAGCATGGGGGGAACCACGTCACTCACTATCCTGAGAACAGCACGGGGGTGGGGGGGGAATCATCCCCACGTACTCTCACGAGAACAGCATGGGGGGAACCACGTCACTCACTATTACGAGAACAGCACAGGGGTGGGGGGGGAATCATCCCCACGCACTCTCACGAGAACAGCATGGGGGAACCACCCACTCACTATCATGAGAACAGCACAGGGGTGGGGGGGAATCATCCCCACTGCACTCTCACGAGAACAGCATGGGGGGAACCACCCACTCACTATCATGAGAACAGCACAGGGGTTGGGGGGGAATCATCCCCACTGCACTCTCACGAGAACAGCATGGGGGGAACCACGTCACTCACTATCATGAGAACAGCACAGGGGTGGGGGGGGAATCATCCCCATGCACTCTCACGAGAACAGCATGGGGGGAACCACCTCACTCACTATTACTGAGAACAGCACAGGGGTGGGGGGGGAATCATCCCCACGTACTCTCACGAGAACAGCATGGGGGAACCACGTCACTCACTATCATGAGAACAGCACAGGGGTGGGGGGGGAATCATCCCCACGCACTCTCACGAGAACAGCATGGGGGGAACCACGTCACTCACTATCATGAGAACAGCACAGGGGTGGGGGGGAATCATCCCCATGCACTCTCACGAGAACAGCATGGGGGGAACCACGTCACTCACTATCGTGAGAACAGCACGGGGGTTGGGGGGGACTGCCTTCACTCACTCTGATGAGAACAGCATGGGGGCACCACCCCCGTGATGCAGTCACCTCCACCTGGTCCCACCCTTGCTATGTGGGGACTCTGGGGAGTACAGTTCAAGGTGAGACCTGGGTGGGGACTCACTCAGCTTCCCTCAGGTCTCCTGCCCTCTTCTCTGGCACTGCCTCCCAGCATAGCCGGCAGCTCCTGCCCAGGGGCGTGGGGCCACAGTTCTTGGCTCCTGTCCCACTACTCAGGCAGGCGATGCTCCAGTCTGTCTCCTCACTGACGCCCTTCTCTGCAGCAGCACTGAGCCCTGCTCCCCAGCCCTGTCCTGACAGGGGAACTGTTGGAATCCTGGTCACCCTTGCCCCTCCAGCCCCCAGCACCAAGCCCGGCCTCCCGCTCCCCTTGGACTCCTCAGCCTCGCTCACCTCCTGCTGTCCCGGGACAGGGTCTTTCAGGCACTGCCTGCTCATGGCTTGCTCAGGGTCTCAGCCCCCGGCCTCCCTCTGTGCCCATGTCCTCTGTCATGTGTTCCATCAGGTGCTGGGCACGGCGCCAACATGGAAGCACTGCCTGTCTGCCCCTCAGTGTGCCCCTTGCAGCTTGGCTGGTGAGTGCCAAAGTGTGGAGGAGGCTGGGGCTGGCAGGAGATGCAGCCCAGGAGGACCCCGGGCTTGGCTCGCCACTGAGGATGATGCAGTGCCCCTCACCGCTGTGCTGCTGTGCCTAGGAGAGGAGGCCCCGGCGCCTCTCGGAACGAAACGCACAGTCGTGGTTCACTCCTGTGACTGAGCTGCAACAGCTCACAGCACGGAACAGTGTGGCCCAATTTTTTTTTTTTTTTTGACACAGGGTCCCACTCTGCTGCCCAGGCTGGAGTGTAGTGGCACAATCTCGACTGCCTGAAACCTCCGCCTCCTGGGTTCAAGTGACTCTCCCATCCCAGCCTCCCAAGTAGCCAGGATTCCAGGTGTGCACCAGCACGCCAGGCTAATTTCTGCATTTTTAGCAGAGACGGGGTTTTGCCATGTTGGCCAGGCTAAGTGTAACACCGTTTTTATTAAAATGAAAACAAAGGACCCCAGTCCCACAGAACAGGAATTCTGAGAGACCAGAAACAGTTCTGGGAGGTGCTGTGCTGAGTGGAGGAGCCCCTGAGGGTGGAGGCCTGGGGACGCCCCTCGGCCACTCCGTCTCCAGGCACCTGCCACGAGGCTCAGAAGCCATGACGACAGCGAGTCAGTCGAATATTGATTTAGTGCCTGCTGCAGTAAAACGCCGATTGCACTCGAAGCGCTCACCGGACACATCTGAATGTCATGCATCGAGCCGCCCGAGAGGTTCGCAGTCGGTCCGTTTTATGCCCATGCTGTGCATTTGCTTCTGAAGGACCGTTTCGGGGTCTGCGCCTCTTGTAGAAACAAGAATCCAGGGTAAGGACTCACCTATGGCTCTGCACGGTCTCTGCGAACTGCAGCTTCTGAGCGCGGCGGCCTCCGCCAGGTCCCGTCCTCCAGTGCCCTCCTGCGGACCAGACCCAGCCAGGCTCAGGCACCGCGCGGGCTCCTCGGTCTAGCGCCCTCTGGCGTGGCCGGCCGGCATTGCCACGGAGGCCGTGGGCCGCTCGGGTGGGACTGGATGGAAACGTGGCTGGGACTGGATGGAAACGTGGCTGAGGCCACCGCGGGTGGGACTGGATGGAAACGTGGGTGGGACTGGATGGAAACGTGGCTGAGGCCACCGCTGACCCGGAAGTCTTTTCCTGCGTTTGTTCACCTGCTATGAAACTAGGCACTCCCCCACTGCCAGCAAAATGACCATTTTTCATTTAATTTGCGTACAACGGCATTACCGACAGCAAACATCTTGAAGGAAACAAAGTGTGGTCAAGTTGAGCCAACATCGCATTACTTCCCCAAAGAAGGCTGCGTGCCCTCGGGGGCTCTGTCGGCATCCGCCAATCCGGGGAACCGTTGCTTTGCTCTTGGCTGAGTTCCTTCCCCAGCATTACCTCCAAATCCTGCCCAGCACTAGTGACATCTGTCTATGAACACTAGTTTTAGTCTCAAATATTTTTTTCCCTCAAAACTCAGAAGCTTGGCAAGAAAAGAAAAATTACAATGAGAAATGTGTCGGCCAGGCGCGGTGGCTCACGCCTGTAATGCCAGCACTTTGGGAGGCCAAAGCGGGCGTATCGCGAGGTCGGGAGTTTGAGACCAGCCTGGCCAACACGGTGAAACCCCGTCTGTCCTACAAATACAAAAAAAAAAAAAAAAAAAATTAGCCAGATGTGGTGGTAGGTGGCTGCAACCCCAGCTACTCAGGAGACTGAGGCAGAATTGCCTGAACCTGGGAGGTGGAGGTTGCAGTGAGCTCAGATTGCACCACTGCACTCCAGCCTGGGGGACAGAGCAAGACTCCATCTCAAAAAAAAAAAAAAAATTGCTGGAAAAAAATCCTACTTGGATAACTATGGTAATTTTAGAAAAAAAAAAAAGTAAGAAGAAAACAAAAGAAAAAAGAGAAATGTGTCCACTCCACCAGCACTTCTGGACTTCCCGCAACACCCGCAGAGAGCTGGAAACCCATGCTCTTGTTGGCAGCTGCCTCCCCATGCTGTCGCTGAGGTCCTTGCTGTGCTGGCTGATGAGACGGACGTGGTGCTCAGACGGGCAGGTGACGTGGTTTACCTGTGTCCTTACCCAGGCTCATCTGTGGCTCCCATAATTCCCACGTCATGGGAGGGACCCGGTGGGAGGTAACTGAATCATGGGGGTGGGTCTTTCCCGTGCTGTTCTCACGATGGTTAAGTCTCATGAGACATGACGGTTTTGTGAGAGGAGTTCCCTTGCACCTGCTCTCTGCCTGCCGCCATGTAAGATACGCCTTTGCTCCTTCTTCGCCTTCTGCCATGAATGTGAGTCCATTAGACCTCTTTCCTTTATGTTACCCAGTCTCGGTTGGTCATGTCTTTATTAGCAGCGTGAGAACAGACTAATACAGCAGGGAACCACTTTTTCACCAAAAAAGGCAATTTAGTAAAACATTCAGACAGTGGCACAAACCTACTCTGTGGATAGAGGCGACAGACGCACTGCCCAGGTGGGACTCCCACCTGTCCTCACGCAGCGCATGCATCCCAGAACAGCAGCGCGGGCCGGAGGGAGGATGTGTGAGGCTGCACAACTCCTGGGGGACTCAGCCCAAGGTCATGTCCTAGCCCTGAATCACAGCTACCCCGTGAGTAGTGGAGACAGTCCCCATTGCCTGCAGCCCAGCCCATAAGACACCACCAGGCAGGACAACTCATGGGCAGTGTGTGGGGGGCAGGGGTGAAGGCCTGGTAGCTGTGCATCCACATGGGAGCAGCGGAGCCTGCAGATGAGGCACCGCCCACTCCTAGCCCAGGATGCACATGAAGAGCTGAGGGCACTGCCCCTTACTCTGCAGTCCTGCCCCCTGCCAGCCTCTGTGCCCCATCACAACCGCACGGCTGGCCCTGGGCTCCCTGCCAGCCTCTGTGCCCCATCACAACCGCACGGCTGGCCCTGGGCTCCCACTCTCTTCCTTTCACACAGCTTGCAGCTTCCTGCATCATCCCTCAGGCCTGCGCCAGGCTGAACGTGGGCTTCGCGCATGGTGTGAAGACAGGTGGGAGTCCCACCTTGGCAGTGCGTCTCTTGCCTCTATCCATGGAGTAGGCTTGTGCCACTGTCCAGATGTTTTACTAAATTTTGCCTTTTCCGGTGACAGTTACTGGAAAGGAAAGACAGGTGTGCTGGGGCAGGTCAGCGGCAAATCCAGGCATGGGGCTGCCCCCGGTGAATATCCGACAGAACCAGGGGCTGACAAATGCAGGCTCGACTGTGAAAAACGACAAAAGTAAAGAACAGGAAATGCTACAAGTATGGCCACAAGTTACGTCGACAAAGGTGAAGTGATGGAAGAAACTGAAATTTTAAAATCAGGGGCAATCAGCCCCCAGACAGAAGTGGCTGGCACTGCCTGAAGAGAGGGTGAGGTAGTGGCAGGTGGCCCGGGGGGGAATATTTCTGGGCAGAGTTTTCAAAGACATCCCCTAAGGAAGACCACAGGCATGAGGACAGCCCTGGGCACGCTCCTTCACAGGGCCAGCCCCACAAATCCACCTGCCAAAACCAAGGCAGCTGCTGCAGACCCAGGCCCGCGAGGTGAACCGTGAGAATGGTGGCTGAGGGAAGATAATGGGTCTCCATGGCTTATATTTCACCTGTAGCCTAGAGCTTAACACATGACCTCTCATGCACAGATCACATGACATGCACAGGTCACATACGCACATGGCAAATAACAGGCACAGATCACATGACATGCACAGGTCACATGACACACAGGTCACACGACAGGCACACAGGTCACATGACAGACCACATAACATGCATGGATCACATGACAGGTCACATGACACAGATCACATAGGTCACATAACACGCAGATCACATGACATGCAAAGATCACATAACACAGGTCACAACACAGTCCACATAACACACAGGTCACATACAGGTTATCACATAACATGCACAGGCCACATAACACAGATCACATGACATGCAAAGATCACAACACACACAGGTCATATACAGAGATTAACATGCACAGGTCACATAACAGTTCACATAAAATGCACAGGTTACGTAACATGCACAGGTCACAACACGCACAGATAACATGCACAGATCATATGACACACAGGCCACATAACAGTTCACATAACATGCACAGATCACAACACACAGGTCATACAGCACAGACAGATCACAACACACAGGTCACATAACAGGTCACATGACATGCTCAGATCACATAACATGTACAGGTCACATAACACACCATTCACATAAAATGCACAGGTTACGTAACATGCACAGGTCACAACACGCACAGATAACATGCACAGATCATATGACACAGATCACATGACACAGGTCACATGACACAGGCCACATACACACAGGTCACATGACATGCATGGGTCACATGACATGCACATGTCACATCACGTGCACAGATCACATGACACAGGTCATACAGCACACACAGATCACATGACACAGGTCACAACACACAGATCACATGACACAGGTCACATTACCGGGCACATGACATGCAAAGGTCACATAACATGCAAAGATCACATAACACAGGTCACATGACATGCTCAGATCACATAACATGTACAGATCACATTACATGCACAGGTCACATAACACACAGAGATGCGACATTGATGCCAAAATTCGATTCATGATTTTACAACATTTTGAAATTTCTGGAATGAAACTTAGAACATGAACATCACAAGATTTCTGCACATCTGGCTTCAGCACAAGTTTTCAGGACAAAGTAAGCTCACGGAGGGGACAGCCATGAGTGTGCCATGGCTTCTGGAAGGACCAAAGGCACATGGTGCAGCCCAGGCGTCCTGGCGTCTGAGGGCCCGTGGGGGCGAGGGAGGCTGCCGTGAAGGCAGGTGCGACAGGTGCATGCCTTGGCTTCGATAAAGTCTCTGTGCAGCCTGCAGTGCCACAGCTCCACCTGCAGTGAAGGTGAGGATGCTCCTGCCCCATGGGGTGCTCGGGTGCCATGAGACCAACTCGAGTGAGGTAACAGAGTTCTTTGATACCTTTTAGGTAAATGCAAACTAAAAGATGAGAACTAACCCCAGGAGTGTCTTTTCCAACCCAGTATGGTCCAGATCGGTGGGAGAGACCCGGGGTCTGAGCCTCTCTGGGAGCCGCGTGCACAGGTGTGTATCCTGCAGGGGCCCCACCCGCCCGACGGAGGAGGAGGCTCCCCACATGCAGGGCATTGCCTGCAAGGTGAACTCAGGTCCAGAATTAATCTCTGGACCTGACA